ATGTTAGCATTGCCTTGCATCACTAGCCAAGACTGCGCCACTTCAAATTCAAAACGACACCAGGAACTCTCAATGAAGTGTTTAGATACAACCACAATAATTTTACGACTACCCATGATGCCTTCATCTATAATGTTGGAGGTAATGGCCTTGCCAGCTTCAAAGTCCCGCACATGAAGACAAAGGTGAATGGGTGGACACCCATTTTCCAGATTTTCCACCAGTTCATCCATTACCCATGATTCATCTTTGCTGGAGTAGATAACAAAGGCATCATAAGAACATTCCTGCTGTCTGGAGACCCTATAACCTCTTAGCAGGATATATCCGTATCGCAGATAAAACTGAAATTTGTAGGTCAAAACTGATACAATAACAAGAAAAGTGACAGCACATATGCATAACACAATTGTCAGTCTTCTGATGTGTACACAGCCTTCAGTGTCAAAGTCAATAAGTCTAATTTTTGAGTCTTGTGACAGAACATTACATGAAATGTTAGGTGATTGTTGAAATAATTGTTGATGGTTCACAATCCACGTAATAAAATCTATCTGTGAGCAGGAACATTCAATTGGATTAAAGGACAGGTCAAGGTCTGAGAGATTTGTTGGTAGGTTTTGCAGAATATGAGGTGGGATGCTTAAAATGCTATTTGTTCCTACATCTAATAATGTTAAGCTTCTTAGATTTGGATGGGTTACAAAATCCAAAACCGTCAACTTGTTTTGACTAAGAAACAAATGTCGTAGTCTTGAAAGACTTTGAAAAGCTCTCCAGTCTATGTTCTGAATACCACAATCTGACAATTGAAGAACTTCCAAAGTTGTGACATTTTGAAATACATAACTTAGTGCATCTCCTCTGAAATTGTTCCCTGCCACATTCAGTACTTTTAAACTACTTAGATAACTGAAGGTCATGGTCCTCAAAAATCTACACTGTGAGTATGATATGTCCAGATACTGTAAATTCTTGAGACTTTTAAAAAATTTAAATTGTGCATTTAGTGCCCTTAATTGTGTCCACTGAATATCCAAAATCTTCATGGAGTCAAGTCCAGAGAATGGATTGTTGCTGAGATATATTATTTCATTAAAGCTCAGGTTAAGGGTATGAATGTTTGGCATCCCTGTGAAATACTTTGAACAACAGTCAAGCAAATGCAATTTGTTTGTACTTAGATCCACATACTGGAGTTTGGGCAAGTCACTCAGACCTCTAAAATATGCTGGCTCTTGATAAACCACCACTAGTTTTTCTAACAAGTGTAGATGTGAAATTTCCAGTATGAGGGGCAATTGGCTATGATATATGTAAAGTTCTTTAAGCTCACGAAATGAGACATGTTGAATAGCTCCTATATGGCCTTGTTTCAGAGTGATTTTTGTTGCATTGACCATGCAGTGGAACACACTGATTTCAGAATCTGAATGTTCTTTTTGAAAAAAATATATTTCGTTAAAATTGATCAAACAGAGACCGTCAAGATAATCAGCATCTGATATCTTTATCTTCTTGTCTACTATGTAGTTTCCTATGATGAGTTTTCCAACATTAAGACCACTGAGAGCTTTTAGACCATACCTCATTGCATCAAATGAAACAAAAGTACTCTGTATGTTAAGCTCTTTCAGGTAAATGCCCATAAATACTCCTGGTTCGATATGTAATATTGGGTTGCTGGAGAGTATTAGAGTGATATTTCCCCTCATCTCTCGCAGTACAGCTGTGTGATTTACTTTTATGCTGGATATGTTATTTGCATGCAGGTCCAGTACACAGAAGTCTTTAAAGTTGATCATGAATGGGGGAAGAGCAATTGTTTGAATCT